CCTGGCAAGGGGCCTGAGAGCCTCCCTTGGCCCCTTGCCATGCTCCCCCCCCCTCCATGGGGCCGGGGGGGGGGTAAAATCGCCAGCTTCTGGGAGTGTTTGGAGGCTTGGGAAGCCTCAAAACACTCCCAGGACATGGCGATTTTGCCAGTGCTGGCCCGTGCGTGGGTGGGAGGAGCGTCGCAAGGATCTGAGTGAGCTTCCAGGACCCTTGCGACATTCCCCCCACCTGGAAGCTGGCGATTTCATCAGTGCTGGCCCCGTGGGGGGGGGGGGGGGAGCCTTGCAAGGGTCCTGGAAGGCTCACCCGGACCCTTGCGACGCTCTCCCCCACGGGGCCAGCAGCGACGAAATTGCTGCATTCACACCATTAGACGCACTGACTTCCCCACCCACATTTTGGAGGGGAAAAAGTGAGTCTTATGGTGCAAAAAATACGGTACTTAGAATACTGAATAACGATAGCTATTTTCAGTGTCTGTTCATTTATTAGACTAACAAACCATTTCCATTGTTTGAACAATTTCAGGGTCTCCATGTATTATTCTTTCACTGATAATCAGACTGAATTGGCTAAAATTTTGGTTAAGCAAATTTGGATCCCAACTGTATCCGCGAAGGCTTTCACGGCCGGGATCTAATAGTTGTTGTGGGTTTTTCGGGCTCTTTGGCCATGTTCTGAAGGTTATTCTTCCTAACGTTTCACCAGTCTCTGTGGCTAGCATCTTCAGAGAACAGCACTCAAAACCCACAACAACCATTGGATCCCAACTCTTTGATGGAGGCCTTCCATGCGGCTGCCTTGCCTCCACCCAACAAACAGTAACCTCAGATTTCCAAAAAAGCAATGAGAGGACAGCAGATTGCTTGGCAGTTCTTTGTTTGAAGAAATGGGAGATAAATTCCAAAATGCTGCTTGGAGAGGAGTCTCCAACCAACCACCCCCACAATCCATTTGCATACTGTCTCTCAACTCACCTTAAGAAAACTTGTCTGTCATGAACAGCAGCTATGCCATGAAACTTTGAGACTCTAATACATAATTTTCTGAATTATACACAAGTTTTTTGTGTCTGATGAAGATGAATTATCATTGAAAGCTAGCTAGCTACTTGATTTTTTAAGTGGTCCAATAAAGGTTCTGCTTACTCCTGCATTTGTATTGTTTTCTTTGTGGTGAGGGGGGCACATGGCCTGCCATCTGACCTTCAGCTTTCTCTGGAACTTTCTAAATGCTAGTATAGGTTGCCAATTATGCAAATATGTCTTGGAGCAAGACTTTTGTTTAACAACAACTCTGTCAACTTGCTGTTTTCAACTCTATGGTCAATAAAGCACACATGCATATCCCCGTTCCTATACCAGCATCTCTTCCCAAGTACATGAATGCGGAATACTGCTTTCTTTTCTTAAAAATGAAGGGAATGACTGTGACTAGCTTTTACATAAAGCTTTCTGCTCCACCAGCGATTCTGATACCTATGAACAATAACCGATATCATGCTATATACAAAACTGAAGGCCTATTCACATGGACTATTTGAATTGTTTCTTTTTCCTCCTTCTTTTAATATCAATATACTTGTATGTATAGTCCCGTGGTATATATATCACTGGGCTTGTTCACATTGCTGTCAGTTCGATTAGCACATTTCTTGCTAATTTTTTTTTTTTGTATGTGTGACTGCACCCTTAATCTACATTCTAAATTCATGAGCAGGGTATACTGAACCTGGAAAAACAACCTGCTACTCAAGAAAAAGGATTATATTCCTGTACCTTGGTATTAGTAACCTGAAAAGGGAGTTTATAAATAAATGCAGATTCTTTTCACAAAGAGTCCAGATTATTTGTATAACAGTACCTTGACTCCTGCATGAAACATGGTGATTGCAGTGGTGGTCCGAACAAGAGCATTGGTGGCAGGCTGTCGCTCAAGAAATCTGCATAAAGATTTAGAGGGTCAAAAATGTCTTAAACAGTAATAACAATATTTTAGAACAATATACTATGTGCATTTGTTTCTTTTCTTTTCTTTTTCTTTCCTTCTTCTCCCCCTCAGGAGAATGGGAGCAAGCTTTCAAAGTCTCACATTCATGAAGCACCTTAAGCAAAGTAAGGAGAGGAGATGGGAGGGGATTTTCTTTTGTATTTTTTTCTTTTTTCCCTTCATTTTCACTTTAAACGGAAAGAAGGGCCAAAGAGGGTAGTTTGAGGGGTGTGTGTGGTTGATCCTTGCATGTGGATGCAAGGATTGCCCCAAATGGCATATATCTCAAAGCAACTCTCTTGAAGACAATGCAGCCTGACCCAAGTCAGGATAATTTGGTCATTTAGTGGCACTTTGATTTTCAGCATCCTTAGTCTGGGAGGCATTTGGATTCAGCATAGTCTCAGCTGGCTTGGTGTCAGTCAGCTCAGGTGGCCCGCAGCCATCTTGGCTAATTAGAACTGTGCTTTAAGCTTACTGAATTAATGCATATTTTGCCCCTTTGGTCTACAATTTCTTTTTCCTTCCTTTCAGATGGTGAATTTTAGATAGGTACCACTAAAAGGTAATTCACAGTAAAAAAAAATTATTTAGATCCATTATTTAACGGTGGAATTTTATATATATGGAATATATATAAATATAAATATAAATATATAAAACTATAACTATATAGTTATAGTTTTATATATATTTATATAAATATATAACTATATTTTATATATTATTTATATATAA